TTGTAATTTATCAGTATTATGAAAGTATATTATGCGCGTTAGCTTACGACTGGACCTTCACGTTCAGAAACAAAGCACCCCGACTGATAGTAATTTCCTTATAGGAAGTTATAGCTACCGACTTAATCACTTTCCCTGTTCGCTTAAGGATGCCCATGCAGGAGATACAAGTCAAGCTAACATGAGGAGTTATTATACAACAAAGTTAGGTCAGCATTTCATATTCTTTCACCCTTTTTCAGTTTTTTGCATCAACATCTCACTCTGGGGCACTTGAGCTGTGGTTTTTAGCCCCCTAGTTTTTGTTGTTGGCCAGGTCTATGTTTTCTGACTAAAAAGGCTTTATTGGGGGTGGGGGGATGCTGGTGTGTTAAAGAAACAACACATATAAGAAGCCCATCAACATACCTTCCTCTTCATAGGTCTCTGCAAGCAGCAAGCGTTGAAAGCAGAAGCAAAGTGGACACAGTTAGGGTCAATATTTCATGCCTCTGTGTTTGCGAACCTGGAATGTTGCTGCACACAAATGAGCATTAGCTTGGCTCAGCGTCGGCCTGGATGGTGCTTAAGTGCAGCATCATTAGCACAGGATCAGCCTTTCCATGTATAACGGCAGCTGACCTTCCGGCACCATGCAAATACACAATGTGATGCGGACAGTCAGCTGAATATCGACCAGTGAGGGATGAGAAGGACAAGATGGCGAAAAGAAATTTTATGAAGGCTAAGCAATTTTTGAAAACCCGGCAAAAGTTACTGGTAAAGATAATACATTTTCTTTTAATATACATCTACTTTCAATACATTTCTATTCTGGAGAATTACAGGCAGTCAAGTTTAATATTAACGAGTCGATTATACATAAGCACATTGACAAGTAAGTCTAAATAGACCATGATATTTTATCAAATCTCCCATAAGTATGACAACCAGATCCTATTTGCCAAGTTAACAATATGGTTAATAATTTTTCAGTGTAGCAGCAGCAGAGAATATCAGGTTCCTGGAGCCTGGAGTAGGCTAAGTGTGGGAGATTGAGTACTGAGAGTACTGTGGCTAATTTACTGCTGAAACAAATGAATGATGGAAAGTTCAAATTAAGTGGCTCCAGAAGCTCTCAGTGCTAATTCAGTAAATATGCAATTAGTGACGAGCAGTTAAAAAATGCACACTGTATATACAGTAGATATACATGTATATACAGTAGAAATGATGTCTTCCTATTAAATGGGCAGTAGCATGAAGATGTCAAATATGGCAGCAGTATGGCGTGTAAGGTGCCGTTAGAATGGCCAAGCTACTGCTTTGGGGCTCTTCGGTCGACCAGATTCTCATAGACTGAGCCCCTATTTTTGTTCATTACAATCTAAATGCATGAGTTTGTTAAGTAAGTGCTTATATCACACACATATATATACACATATCCAATGTATATACATATGAGAAATGTTCCGAGAGAGATAGAGATTGTCTCTACTTTATAGCCAGATATGAAGAGGAGGTACCTTATCTCTACAGAACTAATATGGAAACAGTAAGTGCACTGCTATGTTTGGAAGGATGAATGAATATACATGCAACATACCTTCCTGCACTTCTTCCACTGGCTGAGGCTCTGGCTCTGGTTCTGGGGCTACCTCTTGCACTGGTTCTGGTTCTGGTTCTGGAGCTACCTCTGGCTCTGGTTCTGGCTCTGGAGCCACCTCTGGCGCTACTTCTACTTCTACAACCTCTTCGGCTACGGCTATGCGGCATGCACCGAGTGAACGGAGAGTGGGGGGGTCAGAGAGGTAGGTAAGCGGTGAGAGAAAGAGTCATCAGATAAAAGAGCATTCTTCAGTTAGTAAGGTCAGTATGTCACGGAGGAGGAGGGCAGGGGATGGCCACGAGCAGCGAGGACGGCCCAGAGGAAAGAGGTCTGCTGCCATATCTAAGGCAGGATGCCTACAGTTCAGGGAAATCAATGTCTAGCATCTAATATGATCAGGTACACAATGAATGCATTGACATTCTAGAAACAAAGTCATGTTCTAAACTCTAGAGGTCATTTTGCTTAGTTTACAGTCAGGGTCTTGTAATTTCCTCTGGATGACTGTGAGAGAGGGGCTCAGGACAGAAGTACTGGGCAGGACGTTCAGTTAACTGAACGCAACTACGTTGTTCTCGAATGTCAGGAATACTAGAGTTAAGGACGATGTAGACGCATGGAGTGCTGGGATGTCTTCAGCAAGACCACTTCTTACAATGTTTTGGGTAATATGTATTAATCAAATAAAACATTTTAAACACTGAAGGGTAAAATTAAGATTTTGTCTGACACGTTTCAGGCTGAGGAAAACTCCAGTTGGGGTTTTGACTCTTTTGATGATTAGGGGTAAAGGACCAGGGGTAAAGGACCAGGGGTAAAGGACCAGGGGTAAAGGACCAGGGGTAAAGGACCAGGGGTAAAGGTGAGGATTGTTACAGTTACCATTTTCACCTCCCTAACTTCCTTTCAGTTTCCAAAAAACTGTGATTACAGTTAAACAGCTGGTGTGTCTTCCATCATACAGCAAATATAACCCAATCCATGCAAAATGTTACATATTGTGTCTTCTGTAGCAGATCGAATGGAGTGGAGTTCGCAAGCCCAGACATGCAAGACATGCCCATCTGGCTTCTTTGTCCTTTGACTGGGACAATAAAAAAGCTTCAAAATTTCTCACATAAAATGAACTTAGTAAGATCATTATAAAATACATATTCTAAAGACAGTATCAGCATGTCTTTATTGCAACAAATTCAGATTTGCATAGTGTTAAGAGCAGAGCATCATTTAACTATTACTAAACTAAATGTCCCCAATGAAAGCAACTACTTATTCCCTGTATTTTAATTATGTGCATCTAAATGATATTGCAGGTGATATTTCTGTATATAACATAGCACCTCGATTTGACTGATCAATGTCTTAAAAAACAAAAAAAAGTATTTAGCACATATATATTGTTGGTGAGAGTAATCATTCGAAAACATTTTTGGATAATTAAACTGATATTTTGCTCCTGTTCACAAGATGTAGCACTAAAGTGAAGACAAGATCCACAATGTAAAGAGAAGATTACAGCAGACAAATAACATTTAGATGTAGGACACTTAGTTTTAAACAACAAAATCTGGGGAGATTTAAGATGTAGATTAGTAAGCAATTAGAATGTCTTTACTTACCATCGACCCTGTAAAATGAAACATGAATACAGTCAGTATTTGGGCATATTAAAAGAACAGTATTTGATTTCACTACATTTTGGAAAAAAATATTGCTAAATTCAACAACTAGAAACTATAATTAGAGCATTAGTTACACAGTATTAATTACATTACAGTGCGACAGTTTTAATTTATTGCTTCCATCTCTTTTAAATAATATGTCCTGATATTAGAATTCAGGTAACAAAATGAGCAGAGATAGATAAATCTGGTTCAGAAAGTAAAAATCCAGACCAAGGTTTTGTTTCAAGCAATGAGTTGAACATTAAGAGTCGAAGTCACAGTGTACTCAGTTGGTCGGTTGAAACAAAATCTTGGTCTGGATTTTTTACATTCGGGACCTGAACTATCCACCCCTGATCATGGTGTTAGTGAGGTGACTTTATCTGTACTTACGCCTCCTCAGTGTCAGACATGGTGACAGTGGCTTTTTCACCTGTTAGGGAGTTAAAGGAGAAGCTATTGGAGCTGGCCAGTGAAAACTAACATATCTTACATTTTTCCCCAAATGCAATAGGGTAATATTTAAGGGGATATTATAATAACTGATGCCTTAATTGGTATCTAGAGCCATACAGTAAATGTACTATTGTCTAAACCACAAATTATCTATATATTTATATGCACAAAACATGTATACCTTATTTTAAATGATTTGTAATTAAGTGGTCATTTACAGGATCATCTTTATGTCGGAGACGATAGCCCCTTTTTCTGTACTGTTTTGAATTCTTCTCAGTTCAAGAATTACAACTTATCAGTACAACTAGATCAGTTCTGCAAAAAGTGTAAAAAATAAATTATGTCAACTATATTTCAAGCAAGACTTTTATTAGTGTTTTTTTCCACAGATTTTTCTCCCAGATGTGCAACTTAAACACATCCGGTGTCATAAAAAAACACAGAGAATTAGCATATAAAAAGTTATGCAAATAACATTTAATATGTCTCACCTGCAAGAAGAGACCGTCTATGCAAACATAAAATTAGAAGAAGTTGATTGCTAACAGCTGTGAATGTCTTTAAGTATTAACCTCGGATTGTATTTCTGAGTCTCAGACTTTCTGATGGGTCAGCACTCATAAGTGTCATTCTTCTTCCATATCAGTCTGAGGCTTATATAGAAGAGGGGAATGGAAAAGGTAGCCAGTGAAGCCTACATTTTGGCATATTGGTCGAGTTTTTTGCTGTATAAATGCAAGGTGATACAATGTATAACTAATGGGTGAATAAAGGGAATGCAAAATGTGTTCCTTTTGCTTTGCTGCAATGGTTTAGCTCAAGTTAGGAGCATTTTAAGTCGAGTGATACATTAAGATTCAATAAACGGGCAGTCGACTGTTTTTCGGCTTTCTTTCTATCCACAAATAAAAGTGTTCTCCAGAAATGTATCCTTTAGACTTTGTCAGAATGCATGCATACAATCACAGAGAAGCGTAAAAACAGGTGCATTCCTCAGACGACTGCAAAATACTGTGCTCCTTGACTCCAGGAATGTTTTGAAGCTTTGATTTACATAACTGTACATGCAGCAACAACAAGAGCAATAATAATAATAATAATAATAATAATAATAATGAAAGGTCTGGGACCCTAGAAAACCTGTCACGCTTTGTATTTCTCAGAGATAATATTAGCATTGTGGTACAGCTTCAATAACAGCACATGTTCAGAGGTAGAGGCTGCAATGTGAACATATATGCTCCTGTTGTCCTGGGCACCAAGGCTCCAAGAGAGGCGTTCTCTGTCTTACCTCAGAAAGGCTGAAAGAAGTGAGCTCCCTCGTGGGGGGACACTGGCTGTAAGGGGTCTGCAAACCACCCAGGGTGATAAAGTGTTTCTGTTATGGTGACACTTGATCTTTAGAGCCCCCTTATTGGTCGAACTTCCATCGGAGGCAAGCTAGTCAAGGAGAGGCAAAGCCCTGGCCCTAGCGCTGAATAAGGAAATGGATAGATTATCATGCATGATGAAGGCACATGTTTGGAGAGAAGAAACTGAGAGGATCTGCTGCTAAAATTGTCACAACACCAGGCAAGCAAAATATTACAGTGACCCGCATGAGAGTTTCGTAAGCTGGAATATAAGGTGGTACAATGCACCGAACTTACAAATATAAAGGAACTGTGTTAGTGGAATGAGAATGGAGGTCGCAAGTTAAAGACACAGCCATTCCAAGATTTGTAGCTGTTACATAAACTAGATGTAAAGCTCAATATATTATTTAAGGGAAAAAAATGTTGGCATCAATGAGTCAATTAATAGAAAAAATATGATATATGGTTGCAGAAACAGATGTGTTGATAAAGTGAAGGCGATTTAAACTGCAAAGACAGGCATGTTTAGAAGGTGTACGGTTCTTCACCTGACGTGACCCCCCACTATATATCCCAGTTTGTCTATGAATCCATCCTTCCATTTTAAATGACCATTCATCCATTTGGGGTCAGAGTCGGTCCTTAGTCGATAAAAAGACACACAAGATTGGATTTAACGTGAGGCATTCACAGTCGCACAGCTGCACACATTTCACAATAAGACGTATACATCAGTATTACAAGCGTTTTCTGACTTTGAGGGAATTTCGTATTTTAAAAAACAGCGCTTCGGCTTCTATAGGTATTGTGTGGATGGTTAGCTAGTGCATTCGGCTTTCCTGTTCATTCCCGGTGTATTGCCACAGCTGTGTGAATAACCAAGGCACAATGAAGAAAGCCTTCTTGAAATGCCCTCAAATCCATATTACAGTCCCTATAGATTAACTTTAGGCATGAATGTGGCTCCCTTGTCTCCAGCAGAGGGCACTAGCCTGAAAAGAAAACAAACTTGGATGCAGTGACTACAGATACACATCACCAAAGGTCCATCCGAACAGCCACTAGCTTGCTGACAGTCCTGTGTCAATGTCAAAGTGGAAAATGTTTTGAAGAAAGTCTCAGAATTTATTTTTGGAGAGGCATGGAGACGGTGCTTTCCATCTGAGGTGGGTTAGGGCGTCGGATGAACTTCCCGGCCGGACACTAACGGGATTTTCAGGCAAGTAGCCGGAAGCTCCGGGGCAGCATTCACACAGGTAAAGCATTAATTGCATGTTCTCTAGCCTTCTGTCTGCATAGGCTTCCGCTGACTCGCACTCACCCAGGTAAATCATTATTCGCATTTTCTCCAGCCTTCCGTTTGCATAGGCTTCCGCTGACATGCAATTTAAAGCGCCAAGCTCTGAAAACATGACACTGGATTTTCATAACTGTAACGCTGCACTAGCAATATTATTTACAACAAATGCTTCACAGACCACTAGCTATGTCCTCAATAAGAATATTCCAGATTGCAGATAAGTCATATGTTTCCTTCAGCCTTCAGAACTTTGTAAGATATTCAGGCTATTTGCATGCTTTTATCTTCAACCAAAAAGCTTTTCTGTCCTTGCTTTGGAATCCAGAGTAACCTGTTAATAATCTGTACATATCTACTTGGGAAGTTCTAAAAAACAAACAAAAAAATCTTCTTTAGCTGCAACAAAGATATTTCTTATATTTTAACAGCTTGTACATACAATTAATTTTCCCAAGCTAGAATCAACCTTACATTAGTATATGTGGGTAAACTATTATTAACCCTTCCTCTTTTAAACTTCAAGTTTGGGTGCGACCCAAACATCTAACCTACTGGCCTTAAAAGGTTGACCCCCTCTCACATATCAGGCTCAGCATGTATTGGTGTACAGGTTGCCATGTAAATCATTCTAAACAGTGGGTCTACATGGATATTTTTTGGGAGTTAAAGAAGAATTTGAAATTGTAATATTATGAGCATGCATGGGAAACGACTTCAACTTTTTAGCCTGAAAACCTCGATAAAGCATTTTGTTATACATTTGATATGCACTTAATTCTGGGAGACCTTTGGTCTGTATTATTGATAAACAATTAAAATTAAAAATCAATAATAATAGCAGCAACATGGACTATCTTTATTTTAAAAAACTGCAATTTAACAAACGGGCTGAGAAAGTTCAACATAAAACTGGCATCAGTGCTTCAAGAGAAACATTTGGTGTAACTATATTTTTTATATGTGGCTCAAGGTATGCATGCAGCTCACCTGCAGAGGGAGCTATTGAGCAGCTGTACCTTACTTCTCCATAAAACTAAGCTGAGAAAAACTCCAGAATCCAACATCAGATTTGGACAGGGCTGGTAAATACTATAGGCCTAGGGCCTAAGTCAGTTTCACTTCTCCACAGATAGGGGGAGCCAGCGGTGATGCTTGCCTAGGATGCCACATGGGCTAAGAGTGGCACTGGTTTTAGATACTGTTAAATTAGCTACCCCTCTCACGTTCCATGGGGCCACACTGAAAGGGGGTCCTGGCCTTCTGGATGCATTCCAGCAGGGGCAGCAAACATAACTATAAATCCATGCATCTGAATTATGGTAATTGAGGCATCTATGTCACCTACACCAACTTGCTAAGAAATAGACCACAAAACAGAATTAAATAGAATGAATTAAGCAGATCTAGACAAATTTTCAGGCAAAAGTGTTTTAATATAAAAATGAGCATAACTGTAACATCATTTACATGCATATATATTTATGTATTTTTGTAGTCAGCAGCAACTACAAGAATGACAATGAAATTGGAAACAAGGCAAATAGGCTGCAATACAAACGTTTAAGTGAGAGATTTGTTGAGAGATTTACAGGATATTGTCGGCAGTAACAGAGATGTTGGTATTTCACATGTAGAATATTTAAATGAACTTAATGAGGCTCAATAACGTTGACAGTGAAATGCTCTCAGGAGTGTTCGGGGCATGTTCCACCTGAAATGCAGTGAAATGCTCTCAGGAGTGTTCGGGGCATGTTCCACCTGAAATGCAGTGCAAACACAGGAGATCAGCAGTGTCAGCAGTGATGCAATCAGGTTATAACAAACATAGTCTCTCTTCCTTACTCCTTTCCATCCATCCATTGACCCCATTCCAGTAACCATTTAGGGTCACAGCTAATGTATGACTCGACAAACAATCTTAATTTAATACTGTAATCATTTTTAATTTGCTAGCTAGTAGCTCTTGAAATTGGATACATAATTCCTGACAAGTATATTTCTGGCACAGTTTGAAATCAGCTTTCCCATTTGCAGAAACAGCAAACACTGTTATATGGGCAGCAGGTACAGCATCATATGATGGACCACCTATATTAAATAATAAGATGATGGGAATCCTCGCTGTATAGATCTGAGTCAGTGTGTGTTTCCTGTTTCAGGAGACTGAAATGCTGACATCTTTCAATGGCAGCCATGGACTCTCTCAGCATTACCGTCCACCACTCATGCCGAAACCTGGCAAGGACAATGCCAAGCTCCAGAAGCTGCTCAAGAAAACCGGCAAGAAAAAGTCTTCCCATCAGGCCTTGCAGACGCCTGTCCCTTTCCGCTCCAGCCTCTCTCCTGTAAGCGAAGCCAGCGCTGACCTGGAGCACAGTGACCACTCAACTCCTTCAGGAACTCCGGATCCTGTCTATGGCATCAACTCGAACCCCAGATTTTCAGTGAAACCCGTTCATCAGCATTCACCGTCTCCTTACCCATACATGCAAAGTGCGAAGTATGACAAGACAGCAGTGCTTTTCCCAAAGCAGCACATATCCTTAGATTGTTCCTTTCACCAGCAGGTGGCCCCGCTGCACAACTTCACGTCATTGTTGCAAGCTGAGTCTTCAGCTCACCCAAACTCAGCTCTTCCAACAGCTTCCAGCTTGCAAACTTCAATCCAAGCAGAAGAAAATGTATTTCTGCAACCCACTACCACCCCAATAATTCAAGTTGAAGCTTCAGTTCCAAAAGTACCTGCTTCTACAAATATGGTAAGTCAAATAGCGTCACCTCCAGTTCAAACCTTATCACAAACTCCTCCCCTAATTCTAACTCATACACAGCTTGTACCATTAGCCCCAAGTTCAGTTCAATATACTAAGCCTTTACTCTCCACCCCAGAAGTGGAGAATAATGTTCAAAAAGCATCTCCATCTGTTAAATATCCTACTACCCATACCTTTGAAGATCAAGCCGAAAGCACAGCTTTCAATGGGCTACCACCAGCTAAGAGTTGCACAAAACCAACATCCGAAATGAAAGGAGGGACAACGTCAACCTCTGAATTTCTGCCAACAAGAGCTCTTTCAGAGCAGCTGAAGACACCAGTGTATTTCCTTGCCCAGAGAAAATCGCCTACTTGTGAAGTCTCAAGAGCAAGCCATTTTTCATATTCAACCTCTTCAGCATCATTTGTCAATAAAGGATCCAGTTTTGAAATATGCACGTCTGGCACTAACAAAACAAATGAAAATGAAACTGGAAATTCTTTATCATCAACATCAATAGAATGCACATCTGAATATTCAACATATACATCAAGAGTGGAAGGTAACAACATGTATGATAATATGTGTTCAGTTCATTCTAATTCATTGGAAAGACCTTATAATGGAAAATTAACTACAAAAAATTATGTAAATGAGGTTTCGCCTTTTGCAATATCTTTCAACTCAACTTCCAAGACTCAGATCCCAAAAATCCCTAAACTGCAAACTAAACTTGGAGATCAAACACCAGTAAAAGCTGCTAATAATTTTATAACTCACACTACATATCAAGATGGCCAGAATGGAACTGACCCATGTAATACTACTACTGATATATGTGGATTTGAAAATGTCAATACTCTTATTCACACATGTAAACCTACTATACCTTCCTTGGGATATAAAAGGTCAGTAGCACATGAGACCAAATCCAAATCAAAATATTATGGTTTGACTCCAGCTGACTATGTTGCTTATGGTGGAATTCGAAGCAGTTCCCCCACTTACAGCATTTCTAAACCAATGGCATCTACATCTGAGGTGCCCAAATTGTGTGACACACCATGTTCTCAGAGCCCTGCTTGTGAGATCCCACAAGAGCCCTCACCTGCAATACTGAACTCTACTGTGTCATCCAATGAAAAGCAAAAAAAATCAGCACAGGGTGCAGGACTACCTGAAGGACAAAGTCTCGAGGAAGGAAAAATTGCAAAAACACCATTTTATAGAGCACAAAATGTTCAGATGGTTACTTCAGAGGCTGTGGAATACAGGCCAGTAGGTACAAACACACACCAGACTATTCCAAAACATAAAACTTCTCCTGAAATACAAAAACAGTGCAATTTTGTTATGGAAAGACAACTAGCTAACATACCAATTTCAGAAACACAAATAGCTAATAAAGCCAAACATTTAATACAGACAATTAGCAACAAAATGCAAACACTTAAGTCAGGTGGAAACAGCATGGCAGCTAAGATTTCTAAAGGGAAAGTTTTTACTCAAGGTTTAGATGAAGCTGGGATGGAATCAAGTCAAACTGTAACTGAGCCAAGCATTGTACAACACACAGAAAACTCCAAGGAGTCTCATAGGCCTGAAGTATCCCTTGTAATATCTTCAAGTGTCAAAGAATCTGTGCCCAGTGCTCAAATTACTGCTTGTCTCTCTCAGGATCCTGCAAATTCAGTGACCTCCTTGAGCTTGGGTCAATCCTCAAGTCAACCAGTAATTGGACATGGAGAAGCCAGTAAATCTGTGAGCACTGGAGCAGTTCATAATCAGGAAACCTCACAAGAGACAGCGAGACCTGAGGCATCAAACAGACAATCGACTGCACAGAAGAAAGAGTCAAGCACCTCAGCTTCCAAACAAGAATCTCAAACTATAGAGCCCCAAAAACCAAAGGGTCTGAAATCCAAACTCAGTGGCTGGACACGTCTTAAGAAACATATGATAGTGGAACCAGAAGAGCCGAAATTTCCTGAGCCAGTTGAGGAGTCCAAACTACAAGCACCGAACAGCAAACCAGAGAAGTCTCAAGAAATGTCCACAGAAGTCTGCGAGCATTCTGGGACCCAGAATGGACCCAGGGCCCTAAAAATGTGGGATGCCATCCTTTTCCAAATGTTCTCTACCAAAGAGAACATCATGAAACATATCAATGAGACAAAAAGCAAGACAGAGAAAAAAGACGTGCCAAATGACAACCAAAAACCATCGCTGTCGTTTGTGCATCGCCTTCCTCTCCTCCTATACAGTCCACGGTTTGATGCCAGAAAGCTGAAGGAAGCTGCATCAAGACCACTTACAAAAATTGCCGCGGTGTTCGAAAGGGGACTTTTGAATCGTAAATCTCAAGAGGAGGAACCAAAGGACTTCAATAGAGTTGCAAAAGGGTTTGCACATTTAAAAACCACAGACATCTGATTTTTATCACAATTACATTTATATTGTTAAAATAAACCAGAATGATGAAGCAAGTAATATTTCATAAAAATTATTTGGCCTTCATATTTTAATTGCAGTTCATTTTTTTGTTATGGCTACAGAATTCTTTGTTATGTCTACAAAAGAAGGTATTTTCTAATTGATTGATCATAACCTTATGGTATCGAAGGGAAGTTATTGGCAAACTGGCGTTACACAAAGAAAATTATGCTGGCACATGGCATCATCTTGGTTAAATGTTTGATAGGGTCAAGCAAAATATATATATATATATGTGTGTGTGTGTATATATATATAAAATTTTTATATACACACTGAACTACTGATGGGTAATCACTTTTGAGATTTAGAAATGTTTATTGTGCTTTAAGATGGACCAGAATAGAAAGAATATATCAAGACAAAAACTTCAAAAGTATAGCATTGTGTTTTAAATTCCAGGAGTCATTTTCCTTTTCCTGTTTCATACATATTACTTCATACTAAATTACAAAAATATATATAGATGTTCCTTATGCATAAATGATATTCATACTATTATATAAAGTAATAAAGGGAATATCTATGTATTCATGCTTTAATGTCATGCTGTCACACATATGGATGTGGGAAGACGGCATCTTCCGTGATGCTCCAGAACATTTTGGACAGGACTCATTCACCAGGCTCATTAGCATTCCATGAATGAGGAGACGGAAGCAACAGCGAAAGGCCAAGGTGGTATTTCAGTGCGAGGTGTCAGAAAAGGGACAGAGGAGGAGCCGAGTGGGGCAGGAAGTGAAGGTCAAAGGAAGGTCTAAGGTTCAATACCTTGTGATGTGCTTGCTGGGTCTAGTGAAATATGAATAAAGAATTATATGGTGAAAACATCAACATGGTTGATTAGTTGTTAATTGCTGCTTAGTTACTTTTCTTCTACAATGTGAGATCAATAATACAGTCTATGGAATGTCAGACGTCCCTGTGCAGAAGCCAAACTATAGAACACAGATGCAGTCAGATGTGAAATTCAAGGGATTAGAATGATGCCATGGATTAAAGTTAAAGTTTTGTCTGCTGGCTGTCCCCACATGGAAGACCCAGCCTGTAAGAATGCTGTGTGGTACATTGTTTTGAATGCAAATATCCCTAAGTGAGTGGAGATGCTTGTTACCAACATCCTTCAGTGGTGATATATGACACTATCCAGAGCTTCTGCTTTATCGAGTTTCTGTATGCATGCTTTTTGTATATTAAAAAACTTATTTGGATGTTTTCTGTCTATTGCATTTTAATTACTTGTTAGAAAATATTATGGTCATTTGGTATAACGCCAAAACATCGCTAGTGAGAGGTGCACAAAATAGCAGTCTCTGTCACAAGCTCAGCTGATTTTTCTTTCACTTGCTGTAGATAATGTGAAAATCTTCATGTTGTTGTATCAAGTTGAGAGTCTACAAATCCTTCCAACCAAAAACTCTATTGTTATTGCAGTATAAGATTCCTGACTTTGATTGATGCAAAATCTTTAAATAAATTAAATTGTATAAAATAACTTGACAGATATATGTCTGCCATCTGAAAAATATTTCTATAATAACGAAGTATCATGTTCCTTTCTGTTTTTTCCCCTGACATCTCTGTACTGTCAGAAAACAGAACTTTCAAATGTAAAATATTGTGGTGTTTAATCTAATCAGCAGAGATGGGGCTCACATTAACAAAAGGACCTTCTTTCTAAGAACTTGCTTCCAAATGAGAGAACTGAAATATACTTCAAGACCAGTTTCTTCCATCTGATTAAGTTAATGTCCAGCTCTGGATTCCTTACCTGATTGTTCATTCATGCACGCATTGCAATGGTCATCACTGACAGGGACTTTCTCATACTTTCCATGGCCTGTCACAACAAACTTGTATCTCTTTGTAGAGCAGGGACCCTAAAAAGTAAAGAAATTCATACATAAATAATGCATCATTTAAAGTGAAACTCTCTCTGAACCAAAAGTTTTGAATGCATTATCTAGCATAATTAGCCTAAAAACATTCTTAAGTAACTACATTATTTTTAAGACATGGTTATCTATAGTAAGTGAAACTTTAATGGGAACACTTCTTCGAACTGTGCAGTACTCCCAGCTGGACTCTAGGTGGAGCTGTTTCCCAGCATCATCCTCAGGCTGTTTCAGACTTGCTCTGAAAATGCCATGTGATATTCCTTACTATACCTTTCCACCCAGTCCAGCCTTCCCAAAGCAGGAAGTGTCCCCTAGAGTCTCCCAGAGGTTCTTTTTGTGCAACACTTCACCATATTTCACTTCCTTAGAAAAAAACAAAAAGTGGTCGTCAAACTGGTATTTATGTCACATAGCAAAAATAAAATAAAGGGTCTTATTACACTTAAAGAACAGACCTTGATGTGATGCTTTATGATCCTTTTTCCATAAGTTAGCAGTATTAGTAAATACTACTAGCATTTGTTACCATAGATACGATTTGCCTTTTTGTATATTTACAGGAAATTGTGACAATGAAAGCAGTAAAAGAACAGATGTTACAGTAGTTTTGAGGATACGATTTGAAAGTATCTATTTTCGCCTTTATTCACATTGGTCTGTTTTTATAAACCACCTTAAATCCTCTCCCACTACATTTTTTTCATACTATATATGAATGTAACAAATACGTTCAACATCTTTGCTCTCATATCAAAGCAGGGCTGGCACATGTCACATATCAAGTGCTGATCTCTTTACAAATTGGAAAAAGCAAATTATCTACAGTTGGTGACATCCTTTTCCAGGGAAGAGCCTTATGTCAAATTGTGGGGTCCTCAACAGGTCAGAACAGGCACTGAAAAGGCCCGCTATTAAAGGCATTACAATGCTTTTTTTATTATGCATCTCACCTATATTTTTTCATTGTCACACCTACTCTTCACATGCATTTTTAATCTAGCTATATCGATGCAACAAATTTAAAATAAAATTTCAATTCACTTTGTATACTCAGAAAAATACGAATTTCAAAAGGTCAAAGGTCTGTTTAAGCAGCCGATCAATTATTTTGGCACTCTTGTAATCCCGGTTATCACAGACTACCAGAATAATAAACTGTGATAAAAAGTATATGAGAAACTAAAGGTAAAAACAGTCTGATCAAACCACTAAAGACAGTAAACAGGACACTATTACCTTGAAGAAAGGAGGGTAGAACGAGCAGCAGATATAGGAGGAAATGAGAGGACAGACACTGTAGGGCACATGGACACGGCCAGAGAAGATGGATTTGTACACTTTGCACAGGAGTTTCCATTGATTTCATAATCTACTGTATATGGACACGTATGATAGCAGGTTATCGATGTTTCTACCGGAAACTGATGTGACCTACAGCTGGCTTTGGGGGGGAGGTTCTGGAGCCTTCGTCCAGGTTACCCTTCACCCACTGGGTGATCAAGTCCGTCACGCCCACCTTCAGAGCCTCCGCATCCTACAAACACAGATGGCAGCGATTAGGAGAGGCACAGGGACATGTGCGTCTTCCCTGCACTCCCCGCCCCAGCTGGCCTCCCACTCTCGCCGACTCACTCGCTTGCTCAATCTCCGGGACTGAGCGCTCGCTCAGCAGTCGGGAGTCACTGCAGGAATGTGAGCGGGATTCTGAGATAAAACTGTCTGTGTGTCTTGCAATGGCACTGCATCCCGACCCAGGTGATCCCCTACTTACTGCCCTGCCATGTTACCTCAGAACACGGCACATTCTAATAATACATAAGTCATATTTGTGGGACTGAAATGGTTACTCACATAAACCACTCAGATATGTAGGCCATTATTTACTAAATGAATGCTGGAAAAGGATCAGTGAAGCAATTCAGCTATTATGGCGTAATCAGAAATAATGAACAGAACATTGCAAATAAAGCACTGTCCTGTTCTGCCTTCTCCAAATCCTTGAAATAAGAAACACAAAGATGCTTTGGTGTGCTGCTTCTCCAGCATTTAAGGAAAGTATTCCCTTGCATATAATTTTGGGACAGAAGGAGATTCAACATTAGAGTTTTCTGAGGAGTCAAAATTATAATGCGTAATCAGTACAGGTCATTAAATTGACATTTGGTGAAGGTTCTAGGTTCTAGGCCTGCCTTGGATGGGGAGCCTTTGGTGACGCTTGGGTTCCAGGCATCTCCAGCCTCGAATAAGTTCTTCCTGGCGGCCACAGGCTCTGGGGGGCTGGTCATGTCTGTCGGTGCCTGTTTGGCCTCCTTTAAGGAGCTCTACAATCCCAGGAAAAAACAAAGCAATTGTGTTTTTGCCAACATTATGTATAGTATAAAAGTATAAAACCAAAGGCATGACTGTCTTTCACAACCATGGAACATTTCATACATTCACTCCAGCAATAATGGAAAGTTAGTGAGATTTATATACACATTCAGAGAATAGACTGAGTTTCCCATTAACTACAATCATTTACATTTACAGATTACAGACCTTGATATTCTACTGCTGCTGCTGCTGCAAATACTCTGACAAGGACTGATATTTATTCAGATTGAAATTTTATTTCAAATTTAAGATTAAAGAAATAACTTTTTCAAAGACTAATACTGTCATGCCCACCGTTACTTTGTTGAGATTAAGAGGAACACTATAGGAGGATTACCTCAATGGCATGAGTGTACTGCTCCACTTTGTCATCGATTTTTGAGATGCAGCCAGGGTTCTGTATCTTCTTAAAGCTACTACTGTTTTAAAACAAGGCTGGACTATCAGATCCTGTGAACTTCAACAATAGAATGAGTGTGCAAAAACTGAAACACATAAGCGCTTCCCCAAGGGAGGAATCTCTTCTTCACATGGTTAATGTAATACATTCAAAGACTGATCAGCATTCTTCATCTCAAATGAACTGCGGTGTCAGGCTCTGTTATCATTGACCGTGATAAAGGCCATTAGTCATTAAGATATGCAAACGATCACTCTGATTTTCAATGATTTTCATCCACAGAACTATGTGTCAATCACATGACCGTGTGGCCTGGTAACAGCATATTCATATAAAAATTTACACTTTACAATAAGGCGGTAGTAATTTATAAGAAATAGAATAGAAATAGAAAACTGTTAACTTGTTTATAATTGTTTATTAATGATTTACGAAGTGTTACAACCAAATTAATAACCTGATTATAAACCATTCATAAACATTTTATAAGGGTAGTCTTACTGTAAAGTGGTACCAAATTTATTAAAGTTTAGGGGAAAAATGCACCTTATATGTTTAATAAAATATGGACAAAAACAAATGCATTCAGAGGTTACACCACCTCAGGACACAGTACGTTCAAATTCAGTGGTAGATGGGAGAACTTTTTTAAGGGATTTAAGAGCATTTAAGGAATGTCATCTTTTATGTATTATTTATAGATCACTGATATGAATGGGATCAAGGTACAATGTCACCAATGTCACAATGAAACTAAGGAGCGAGAAGAAATTGCAGCATATTTTCAGAGCAGCATGCAGTATACTGTCTGCTGTTATCTCTTGGTGTTTATTTGCTCCCTATTCACTGCTAAAAACTAGAAGATCCTTTTCCTCTTGGAACTTCTACTTACTGGAACAGTGCAATCCTGTAACCTTATTAGCAATAACTAATAACAAAGTACTGCAGACTAGGCACTAGTACTGCTGGAATTAAGATAATTACTGAAAATGCCTGAGTTTCAGGGCCAAATGCTCTCATGTTACCCCCCAACCCGAACTACACAGACTATTTTCATTGGTTCCCTTATGATTCTCGCAGTCTTTTGTGCTGCCTTTTAGAGCCGTTAATGAAATAGCACCTACTCCATTTAAGTTTCTCATCACTTACATCTGGTGTAGCCCTCTTTGGTTACTAAGCTAATACCTCCTGGAAATCTCTCCACCAAAGTGTGGTGGAGTTTCTCATGTTTGCTTTCTTGATGGTGGAAAAAGCTCATACATGAGAGTCCCCCCAACCTTAAAGAAACATCTCGAGACCAATCTGATCTGTAAACACCTCACCTAACTAACCCAACCCCTGACCTTCTCTGTCCTCATTTGCAAGCTGATCTCTTGTGTATCCTGGATGCTCTTGACTTTATGTAGCATCTGCTAAATAAATAATTACATTTCATAAACAATGTAACACTGATCTCGTTCAGTCAAGCTCACCTTTTCTTTAAGCATCTATTCAGTGACTCTGTCCTCTCTGTAATCTATAAAAGAGAATGTTATTGAGTAGTCTTAATATGTTCATTATAATTAAAAAAAAATTATTATCATAATTAAATATCATTATATAATAATAATAATAATACTTTGCTAAGGAGAGGCTACATATACTCAATGCAGTGCAATACACTTTAAAATTAAACTGCATTTTAAACTGAATTGCCTCTTATGGCCTATTATTGAAAAGCATTAATTATGGGATAAAGCAATCTAAAGTAATTGGGAGGAAGGACACCAAGGAATACAACATATGTATTGAATACAAGGGATTTGACTCCCCAGGCAGTACATTTGAGTTGGGATAACATGGGACTTTACCGAGTATGAGGGCTCCTCCATCACTCTCCCATCAATGTCATTCTGAAATCATGCAGAGTAGGAGAACATTAACAACAACATGGACGGCAAAGTGCTATACGACTGGTACTGCATTATTTATCAACTTACGGTATTGTGCAAAAGTCTCATGCTGCCAAAGAAATTTATGCTTAAAGCTATTTATCTGGGCAGTACATCTGCTCAGAAAAACACAGTTCGGTTTTGGAATATATGCAAATAAATAATAGTATAACAATCAGTAAGAAGAATTTCACAAGAGTGACTGTTAAATTTCACCATTAGCTCAGGTAATTCATTCAGTTAATTAGTTAATTAAATTCATGAGGTATTGATTACTTAAGTTGTGCTGCTGATCAGCTTCAGCATATATTGGAAGGTAAGTGCAAACAGTGGCTGAGCAAACACCAACACAAACATAACATAAGTATTATTTTCTTTGGCAGCCTCATGTGAAGTTTTGCATATTAATGCATAAATTGGATCTTTTTTTTCTTCCTTATATTGTCTTAGCTCATTGGTAAGATTAACAATTAAATTTAAACTGAAAAAGAGCAGAAAATGCATCATAAGAATAAAGCAAAAAAAAACACTGAAGAATTTAAAAACGTACAGGGAGCCAGAGTGAAAGAGATGATGTATGAATGTGCATGTGAGAGTCAGAATACATTCAGGTGGGACTCTTAGAGCTCAGGGGACTGAACGGCACCTCTCTCTGTGCTAGCAGTACTGAGCACCCTCCGTGATTCCCTGTCTCCTGCAAACAGGCTAACGGTGGCTGCACTCTTCCCTCTGTAAGCTGCTGAAGGTAACCGTGAAATGGACTCCATTTACCTGAGAGGGGACACTCATGTGGGTGCGTGCACACGCCTGCCTGTGTTTGCACGTGGGTATGTTTGCGTGTTCACATGTGCCTCGACGCGTACCCCCGTCTGAATGTGCCACTGATGTTCCTCTTCCTCCTCCCTCATTCTCAGCCCCTCTAGCTCGGTCTCGATCGCCCGCTGCTCCTCCCTCTCCCGTTCCGTGTTCTCCCTCTCTTGCAGGCTGCCTTGGATCTGCTCCAGCTTGTACCCAGTTTCCTGGAAGGATTCCATCCTTGTTCTCCCCTCCGGGTTCAGGCTCATGCCCCTGGCAGACACACACACAAAGGGGAGGTTGGCACAACCGGACAGCACATCTACCTCGTAAGGGGTAGGAACATAACATAACTTAATTTAACTTCCATCACATCTATCTTTGGGTCACTTATCCTGAACAGGATCACGAGGGGGCCGGAACCTATGGCAGGCAGCACAGAACCGGGGAAGGTGCTGAACAGGCCACACATTCAAACACTGTGGGCAATCTGGAGACATCAATTAGCCTGGTTGCACGTCTATTGGCTGTGGGAGGAAACTGCAGCACTTATAGAAATAAGGAAACGCTACGAACATAACTGAAATCCCCATTAGTGAGGTGTGAGACTGCAGCACTACTCACTGGGCAAAATTATTAATGACAGTTGACAATACTGTGCTAAGAACTGTCAGGATTGTTTATGTTAGCCTGTGATGGATCGCTGCCCCATCCTGGGTTTTGCCCTGCCTTGCAAACCTCCGCAACCCAGAATAGGACAAGAGTGTACAGAAGATGGATGGCTGGATTGATGGATGTTTGTCAGTGTGCTAGCTTAGCCATTCCGAAACATCTCAAGTCACTCCAATATTTCTAGTTAACATCTAATATACCGTACTTACGTCGAGACTGAGTTTCCCATTCATTTCAGAATCTTCAGTATATGGGAATGTTTGATAATAAATCAATCTTTCTACTTTCTACTGGAAACTGATGTGACCTACAGCTGGATTTATTTGTTGAACTCTACCAATAACACAGCTAGCTGTTTATTTATATGTATACCAATGCTGAATAGTGATTTTCTGAGCAAATATATACTTACTGCCCAGAATAATACCTTAAGACATAATTTGCTTTGGTAACCTAAGACTTTAACAAACTGCATGTGCTTATACAAAATAAGCATTTTTATTGCCAAGAGCACTAACTCTACGCATTAACATCAATAGTAAGCCTACATATCTATAGAATAAATATATAGAATAAATGGTCTTTTAACAAAATGAAATAGATTTTTGATACACATTACCTCAGCGTTCTTTTCACTTTAGCTGCCTGTGATGTCACTTCCTGTTCATGGGTACCTTTGTCAGTCTGCCCTCCTTCCTGTTGCAGATAGACTTTGGATATGTATGACATCTTCATGTCTGTCCGGTTTCCTTTAACCTAAACAAGGGGCATACAATGCAATGTCTCAGTTCCTTCACAGTAATTTACTGTTTATAAAATACGAAAAGGCCTCCATTATTCTGGGCACCTTTTCCTTCTGGTGGGCTCTTGGATCCTTCCCTTCTGTCATGCCTGGCTCTGTGTCTTCATTTCTGTGTCCCTCCTGCACTTTTTCCTTGCGGTCGTTTATCCTCTCCACCCTCTTCAGTATCTCCTGGCCATGCACCCTCCTTGACATGCTCCCTTTACTCACTTGCTCTTCCTCATCTACCTGCTCCGCTGGTGGGGCTTCAGTGCCGATCTTCCGCCCGATAAGTGGGCCGCCTTGCCTGCTATTTGTTCCTCCTTCCTTGGCCATGCCATGCTCCTCCAGGTCCCGCCGCCTGCTCTTCTCCATCTTCTGGGTCCAGTCACCAAAGCCCTCATCCTCATCCTGGGAGGATGGACAGCTGGGCTTGAAGCCAATCTCATGCCTGACAACAGGCAAACAGAAAGCATGACAAGTGAGACCCAGCTTTGGATCTCCAGAATCTGTTTATTTCAGGAATATAAAGGTATTGTTTAGGGCTGGGAATCCACCCTGACCTCACAATGCGATTTCTATTCACAAGTGCCCAGTTGAATTCCATTTCGACTATATTCATTCTATGTTTACGACACGTTCACTAATGTGCAATCAAGCCAGATTGCGTAAAGATGCACAGCATTATGGGAAGCCATTTTATTCTTAATTAATTTCTAGAGGATATCACAAATTCAGTTCTGACTAGTTAAAATGCAAATTCTTAATATCAGAAATTCAGTTGTAACTAGTCATGATGCCAATTCTTGATATTGGAAATTCTATTTTAGTTAGTGAAATTCAAAATGTGTTTCTCATTCATTTCAATGGAAGCTGGAATTCGAACTAATTAAAATGCCAACTTACGTTATCAGGAATTCAATTGTAACTAGTTATAATTCAATTGTAACTAGTTAAAATACCAATTTCTGGTATCAGATCAGATCAGTGTAGATCAATTAAAACTGAATTATAACTAGTTACAGCTGAATTCCTGATATCTGAAATAGAATTCTCAAGTAGTTAAAACTAATATTGATCTGGATGCTCATCCTCTATGCGCTGCCTCCCACCATATTGCAAAGCAATCAATTAGGAAATTTTTAATCGATGCTTTTTAATAATCGAGTAATCAAGTTTAATCGAGTAAATATCACAACTCTAATAACGTTATTTCAGGGGCAGATAACAAGAAAAATACTAAAGACCAGTTCCCTGCAGGAAGATTGTGATTGGCAGTGTCCATTAATGACCCTTTTCTGGGGGTCCCTGTGTTAATAGATGAAGAGATGTTCTGATGGATGCTCCCTAGGGTGTTGATTTGGGCAGGGATGCTAGGGACATGTCCCTACCAATACTGTGGGATAGGGTTAGGGTTAGGGTTAGGGTACGCCATGTGTGTTTAGGGGGTGGGGGTTTGGGGCTGATTTGGTCCCTTACTAATGTTCAAACCAAACTTACACCCCCGGATACTGATAATCAACTACCCCAAGAAGGCATCAATAGTAGGGTCATAAACAGGCATTCTGAGGGGTGCTCATCCCTCATCCCCCACCCCTAGAAGCCACTGCATCTTACAGGATGCCATCATGAGGCGCATTCCTCTCTGGGAGGGGTTCTCCGCAGTCCAGCTCCTGCTGGGTAGCGCTCAGCTTCCTGGCCCGGCGCCGCCTCTCCCGCTCAATCTCCTCAGCATCCTCCATGCTGCGCTGAGCTGTCAGTCTGTCAAGGAAACAGAGCAAAGCAGCTGAGTGAGGAAAGTCTTTGTCAGCTAATGGTATCATGGTGCACTGATGCAAATACTCCCACACGATAATGTGCGCCACGATCCATTGTTTTATGTATGTCACAATGAGTGCAGGTGATGTGTAATATTGCAGTGGATAAAACGCTGAACTGTCTCATACATTTTTGTAGTGGGATATAGCATTGTTACTTAGTAACACATTATCTTTTCATATCAGATTGAAGGTAAACATTTTTTCAAAAGGTCATACCTTATGTGTGGATCTCAGCAATAAAAGACATTTTGAGCTCCTTGTAATTCTGGTACCACAGTCTCAACCAAAATTTTCTATACCGCAGTAAGAGATAAAGGAATGTAAAACATGTAGCTTAAAGAGACAGATTTACTGAGAGCTCCCCAGTTTTGCTGTCTTCAGTTATGGACATCTGGTCCATAAATATCCTCAAAATCACACACTGCTGTGAGAATACAAGTTTTATTTTATTGATTTTTTTTTCATCTGAAGCTCTGTTCCTCTGTATTTTGATACTAAAGTAGGTCATGATTGTGGCTGTGAAAAGAAAAAATAAAATAATGAAATTAAATAAAGGAAGACAAACAAGCCAGGAAGCAGCTGGAAGGATGTGGAAATTATACCGTGTCTGTTTCAGAAAGTGCACAATGGGCGTTTGAGGGTCCAAGCTAAAGTGGACGTGCACTTCCTGGTGGCCTGCTAACCTGACTTTCCCATTGGCTGACAGGAAGTAAGGATGAGATGGTTTTCTGTGGGAAATGTCACTATTTCCTGAAAAGGAAATGGGCCAACACCAGACTCAGGGAATCTAAGACAATTATTCTGATATGGAAGTTCTAGAAATCAAATGTTTGATATGTATAATATTTTTAACATTTTGCTTTGGAATTTTCATACATTTCAGTGTTAATGTGACTTCAGCCTAAAGTTTACTTTGGCCTTTGTTTTACACTAAACAGCTTCAGCATAAGAAATCAGTACTAAGTTTTCACAACATTAGAAGCTCCATGTTTAAATGGTACTAATGCTGAAAATATTATAAATCATTGACACAGTTGGGAAGGTATCATTCAGCATCATTTCACATCTGCCCTTTGTTTCATATCTTGTTTCTACAGAAGGTAAAACTGGTGATGACACAAAACAGTCTTAATGCCAAGCTAAAATTTAGACAGAATCTTAGAAAACATAAAATATTTCCTTATACATTTATAATAGAATAGCAGTGAACTTTTTATAAAAATTGAAGATTGTAAAAGAATTTAGTGAACAGCATGAAGCTGTAGCAATGAAAATGTTCATTCTTGCAGTTTAATTCACTATATAACACTTATAAGTTGCAGAAATTAAAACAGACCGCAATTCCAGGCAAGCGAATGAAGGGCAGTTTACTTTTCCTGCTCCCAAAGATTAACACCTTGGGGGGGTGAGCGGGGGTCAGGAGAGCGTCCAGCCCTCCCTACCTTAACAGGGATGCTGGAACATTCCGCGGCCCCTTATCGGCTGCCCCTCACTGAGCACCAGTGCTCAAGCTGAGCGTAAGTTGTGCTGTTCTTTTAAGCTGTGTTGACGCAAGAGAGGAGAGTGAATGAAGAAGTGTTTTTATTTCAAAGCGTCTTAAACGGCACGTCGAAATTTCTCAGCCTATGTAGATTACGTATAACCTCAGAAACTGTGATAATGACATTTCTTGGGTCTTTTTCCTAATAAAGGGGGTCAATTATTTCCCACATCCAATTTATTTATATGTTTCAGAGTGCATAATCTTGTGTGAATAAAACTGGAAATTGTGTAAAATATGTAATAAGTGAAGAAATGTGAAGTGTGAGTTTAAAAGTAAAGAATTAATTTTAAAAATTAAGTGTTTTTTCATGCCAAGAGCACAGACTCATTACTGAAGCGCCGCTGTAATAATCCTGGAATGTTTGCTGAGAGTGATGTCATCCAGTCCACCCCCGTCTCTGTTTCTTTGCTGGGATATAAAGTTTTCCAGAAGAACTTAAAGTCGTCCAGAGGATGCATTGCTTCACCAAATATAAGCCATTTAAAAAGCGCATGAGATGGAAAATATATTAGTTTTTTTTCCTACCAAACCTATTATCTGCTATGCAAATTTGAACTTTTACCAAGTCCCATCACAACATCAAAGGCAGTGATGTTAAACACAGCAGAGCTGCCCTAATTAATGGAATTCCAGTGAATGAAAACTGTGTCAGTGTCTGACAGCACAAACAAAGGGCCAGTGAGCCTGGCTGGCAGTGTGGCTGTTCTGTACTGCAACGCGAGCATCTGGGCTGACTCTGCCGTTGCAGATCCTGAGGGGATTTCTGTGCTAAAACATTCTGTTCACTGCAGCAGTTTCCTTTCTGTGCAGAAATAAAGCTGATCATGGGAAATATCTAAGTTCTGCCTAATTCTTGTGTAGGCTATTATATATAAATACTGCATACTAACTTAAAAATCTTATTTTTGCTTTGCTGTTCACATTCATCTTAATATTACAATAATTCCTTCTTTCTTCATTGCATTCCTCACGAATCTGTGATGTTCTGTAATAGTCATTTAATCTCAGTCCTTCAAGAGAGAGCCCAGTGTAATTGACTGAAAGTTTCTGGAGAAACTCCACTGAAAAAGTTATGGGTGACTGTTCTGTTCAATGGCTGTGACTGCTGTCATAATTAGGGAGCACAGTGATTAAGCTAATAGTGGGTATAGCTCCTGGTGGCGTTCAGCCTGGGCCATCCTTCACTGAGGTCAGCGGTCTAACACCCACACTTCAGTCATGAGTCTCAGGGGAAACATCTTAGATCCAACACAAGACCAACATGCTAACACACATGCAATATAATCTGCAGTATTTCTCAACATTTTCTACAGAAAAAAACCTTTCGCAAATGGTGCATCACTGTTTACATATCAGTCCTCAATAAACCCCGCATATCTGTACCTTAAAGCAGTACACTTCTCCTGTGTCCTAACTGGGCTAGAAACACCATTCGAATGCTGAATACTAAAACAACCAATAGGTAAATGATACTCAAAAAGTATATCACTTCATCGGTTTACATACTTAATGTTTTAGCTTAAAATTCTTTTCATTCTGCTCTTACCTTAGCAAGTTTTGCAAACCTTGCTTGCTGGTCTCTCTTCTTTCACCTCTTAACATGTCTTTAATCCCTTGTGCCTTTGCTAAAAGGTGTCACACCAACAAACTTGATCAAACTGTAGAGTTGCTCTTCCTCCGCAAGTCCTACACAGCAGATTTCCAGAGTGATCCGAGAGTGTGCTGCATATGTCCCACAGATCTAACTGTGCCTTATGAAAACGTCAGGAGCGTTGGCTCTTCCCAGCTAGGCTGGCTTTAGGCATCGCCTGGCCCCGCCTACCTACTGCATGTGGTTCTCATTGAGGACTTTGAAACCCTGTTCTTCACATCTTCCTCCCTAGTTCTAGGAGACTGCAAGGTCATGTGAATCTCTCCACTGAAAGTGCAAGATGTATGCGCCCCACCAATCCTCATTTCCCAGCATGCACTTATAGCTGCTTTGAAGGAGAATTGCTTTGGATCTGAAGAAACGATTTGAAACTCACCCAGTTTTGCAGAAAACTGAAATCAGCTTTCCCGGAATAAAAGTAATTTAAAAAGTCCTTAATAAACTATAATACGTTTACTCTCATAAACAGGCAATTATTATAAGTTGCATTCTCTTTTTTTTTTGCACTTTTCGAAAGAATATATTCTTGACAATTTAAAAAGATGAGGATTATTAATAAATTTATAAATATAAATATATTTATAAATAAAGATTACTATAGCCATATTGAAAAAAAATGTTTGAGGAAAAACATGAAAATAGTGTTTTCACAAATAAGTAAAACATTGATTTCAATGTAAAACACAAGAGCACAATTTAAACATAAAAATATATTAAGTTTTTTGTACAGTAATAATACAGAAGTGCCATGTAATGCTTTTTATTTTATCCATCCTCCCAACCACTTTTCCTGATCAGGGGACCCTTAGCCGATCCCATGTAGAGCAGCCTGGGGTACAACCTGGGCATGGTGCCAGGAAGCAGCTTTTTAAAATGCTGTACAATTGATAACTTGTAATGTGTATGTCTAGCTATGAATTGACTCCTCAAAATATCATCCAGACCAAATGCGTGAGTGTTCAATCTCCATAGCATTATGTGGAAATGATAAAATATGTAGGGAATAATTGGACTTTGAGCATGAAATAATTTGTCCCCCCCTGCACCACACTGCTGGAAAATGTCCATACTTATTCTTACTTATTATTATTATTATTATTACTATGCTTTTATGGCGCCTTTATGTATGGAGCCTGAGTACTGTCGGCACTGGTCACCCAAGCTGGACAGGGAAGGAAACTATGGTTTCGTTAGCAGTGTCAACTGGTATCACAGCAGCAATGACTCACACCCCACAAAAAGAAACATGAGAATCAATTGTGGCACAAGAATTTTATCTGAATCAACAGATGCACTTTATGTTTACGGTCATCAAAATATAAAAGGAGCAGCACAGTCTATACGGGCAGCGTGCTTCTGGAAGTTAAGATGCTATACCTGTCATCAGAAGGTCAGTGGTTTCAATCCCCACATTGGCCGCAGTTTTTGCCATTGGCCCTTAACCCATATTGCTCTAGGGACTGACTGATCCTGCTCTCTCAGTTACACTGTAAGTCGCTTTGGATAAAAGTGTCAGCTAAACTAATGCATGTATTTGGATGAAATATCATTATCAGATATTGTGATCTAATTGGAATTGTGTCACAAGTGCCCTCTATCATATAATATATCCATATTACACCTGAGGGATGATTCATCTACATACTGAACAAGCATCACATACAGAAGGAGCTGTTTTTGTAGACCCTGAAACAGAGGAGTGCTACCTCATGCTTCTGAATTACTGTAATTTAGTTGTTTGCCAGAATTGTTGTTGAAAGAGGTTTTTAGAGTGAGTCTTCTTGACCGAGTTTTCATGTTGTCATCTCAAGGTCTTTTATGTAACATATTTATGGTCAAAATACACATGCAGACAGTAAAAATGTGTGGGGCATTTTTAATAAATCTTGCCGAAATGTTGCAAACTGAACTGCAGGAGAACTGGACAGCACAAGGAGAACATGCGAGCTAAACCTTGGATATGTGGTGCTCCAGTGCTACAGAGTGACAGCACTCTTTCAGGAATGTTCTGGATTTTTGATGCATTAGTGATACAGCACAATGTAATCATGTAATCATAACAAAATTTGACATCACCTGTCATGCCTGTATAGCAGGGCTTTCCCTGATGATGCCTCCCATTTTGCTTTTAATAAGAAAAAGGTGGGAAAAAATGAAATGTGAAATGGCAGATTTATTCAAAACAGGCTGTCAGAAGTAGAGCTTCACAGAGGAATAAAACTATGGATCTTTAGAAAAGGCAATGGAGTTCAACAGAGACCACAATGAGACCACAATGCACTGATGCAATCAGTCTGCAATTCAACAGTTATTTAGCTGAACAATTACTTTTTATTGCTGCCAGGGCCTACAATTCCACAGTGAGAGGGCTTGAGCTTAAGGGAACAGAGCCTCTCTCCCGACAGCGCACACCTCTGCACTGCCTCGCGCGCTCCACAGTGAGAGGGCTCGAGCGTAAGGGAACAGAGCCTCTCTCCCGACAGAGCACACCTCTGCACTGCCTCGCACGCATGGTTTCTGTCTGGCTCCCTCACCATACTGGGGCTGCAGCTGTTCCATTATACTTGTATCCCTCTGCTCCAGTAAAAAGAGACTCCTTAAGCTCAGCTTGCACCCCAATTTTGATGCACTAATGACCTTAGACCCCCTAGGAATAGAAAGACTGAGTCTACTGAAGTTCTAACACAAATACTATCCTTACCAGTCGAGCAAGTGGAAACAATGAAAGAAACATAACTTTGAGAGAGTTTTTGTCTCAGACTTTCCCTTGACTAGCATCTCAATGAGAAGATGTGTTTCTTTTTTGTCAGCTTCTACACACACATCTTAATGATGAGCTGTGCAACAAAGCATTTAAAATGGAGGACTTTGTCACAGTAGGGAGCATATGTAGCTACCCCCTACACCCCCAGCCTCAAGCTCTCCTGGTACATTACAGTCGTGTTTAGTCCTCTCATAGGAACATGTCTAAGACTTCATCAGTCTGTGTTTTGTGAGGAGGATCATGACTGGCCAGACCTTTGGAGCTACATCAAGATGCTAATGTTCCTATGAACAAGATCAACATGATGTTACAATTTATTTTTCTCATAATGCATCTGCTCATTATGTCAGAATGTTATTATTGTTACTAACAGCTACATATTATAACAAACAAACATGTAATTAGAATTATTCCAGCCATCGTCTAACCACTTATCCTGGTTTGGGTCTCTGGGTGTCCTGGAGTCTGTCCTTGAGACTGGGTGTCCTGGAGTCTGTCGTCCCCCCCCCCCCCCCCGAACAAGGTGCCAGTCCATTGCAGGGCACATACATACACACTACAGGCAGATCAGAAACACCAAATGAAAAACACCCACTGGTGACGGTATGAAGCAATAATGATGTAATTTCACCCAATAATTACAGGCAGAGTAAAAACAAACACAAAATTTAATGGGTCCTTTTATTTTTGTTTTATTTTGTTACACAGCACTTTTGCACAAAACAATAGCACTTTTCCCCTATTGATGCCAGCTTAAGGCATAATGTTTCCAAAGCTCCCACCCAACAATGGAGTGTAACATCCAGCACATCTGCGTGTACTTTGCAACTCATTTCTAGGGAACGAGAAAGGCGTTTAGGGATTTCCTGGACATTTTCTGTTGACAGCACTAAAAGCTATTAGACATCCTTGTCAGTTGTGGGCTGTTTGTATGGATTGCATCTACTTAGTCAACACTATAGAAATAGTTCACATTGGATACTTTCAATCGGCACTTTGTGAGGTTGTCTCCATTCTGTGAGCAGCAATTCTGAACACATGCTACCTGTCAACAACAGTGGGACCTTCAGCCACAAATTGACATGGTGAAATTGTGGTAATCATGCTAATATGTAAGTGCTCATTTAGTGCACATTTCAGAGTTGAGGTAGCGTGATTGGCATTCAGTCTCCTTACAAGGCAGCTTATGGGAGCATTTTTGGCGCATTGCTGTTTTAAGGCAGTGAAACAACATTGTGCTTTTAGCCAACAAAAATCACGTCTAAAGTCAGTGGTGCATTGTTAAATGGTATTTAAGTGGCGCAATTTAGAAACGTGTGGGTCCACAACTCATTATTGACACATGTATATGCACTAATGGTTTTTTAAATTTTATTTTAATTATATATGTTTTATTATATGATGCATCTGGTCCTTTCACATAATCATATTATTTAATGAAACCAAAATAAAAAAAAAACATGTAAAGCAAAGAACGAACCGTATCATTAAAAAATCTTTTGAGTTCATTATCAGAATTAAGCACATTCTGCAATTGAAAGGACATATGGATTGCTGAAAATGTGTTTCAGGTATTTACATAAGTCAGGTGGAACATCAGAAGGTCGCAGCATTCTTTGTGGCATGTTGTATGTTGTATGTTGCGTAACATTGCCATGCGTGATGGATGTCTGTCAGACATAAATAAGGACACATTAGAGGACTTTAGAAGGCAGGAGGCGGAACTGCGTGTGGCAGGTAAGGATGTAAAATGTAGGATGAGATGTAGAAGAACAGTCCTATTGCATTTAATTTGAACATTTTAAAACACCTTAAAAACTGTACGTTTCATTTTGTTTGAACAAAGATTGCATTTTTATTTATATCTTGCAAACTGCAGACCCAAATTAAAATAAAAAAAAAAAACACACAAGCATAATTAATTCCCCATTACCAGCCGTTGTCCTTGTTCAGCAGCCTCTGTCTTCTCCATTTGACATCATTATACCACTTTCGGAGCTGAATGGATGATCTAAGGATGCCAGAAAACACTCACTGCTAACCCCCCCCCCCCCGCTTCACTCCGAAAGGCTTTGGTGGAACAGTGCTACTTACATATACGATATGCTCGCGCATTCTCACCTCGCGCACGAGCATGTCCGTTTCCTCGGCCGAAAAGGATCTGGCTTGCTGGCCAACGCGCCATTGTAATAGCAATCCGCAGCAGATCATGGGCCGCTGCCTTTTAAAGTCTGGTTTTTCCGCTGTCAAAATAATAAAATAGATTTGAACATGCCCATAACTGTTAGTTCTGCTTTGCACTTTACACTGGACCAGCTCTTTCCTCTCTAATGTATGCTGGAGGGTTCAGGGGAGTTTATCAAACAAGTCTCCATGTGGACTTGGAAAAGCAATACAGCCATGTCCCATGGAGGGGGGGGGGGGTCCTGTAGGGGGTGCTTCAGGAGTATGGGGTACAAGACCCAC